CATTCCCCGCAGTGCCAGCAGAAGTGTGTGTGACGCTCTGTCCGCTGCTCGGCTGCCCATGGAAGTTTGTCCTGTGCCTGACTCTTGTCTTCTTTCCCAGTATGGAGCTAAGGCACTGGACAGAGTTCTCTCCACTATCCTCAGCTACACGGAGAACAGGGTGCCTGTGCCCAAGAGCTACGACGGAGGGGAGCGTGCCTTCTTCCAGGGTAAGAACATGACCAGCTCGGGGGTTTCCGCTGCGTCTTGCTGTCCGGCTCAGCCCAGGTTTGGGACACTCGGAGAACCGAGCAGCGGGCTGGAGTAGGTCAGGGAGAGGGAACCGTACCGCTGGGTTAGCATCCCACTCCTGAGCAGAGCAGTCGCACCCCCCTGATGCGTGTCACCCTGCCAGGCGTGGGAGAAAAGGGTCTGGGGGAGATGTGGCTGTGAAGTATCAGGCACAGCCGGGGGGAATCCACGCTGTGAGACTGCTGGGGGGTGGGGGCTTGACCCGGAGATGCACAGCCTGGTTTCTGCCGTTCCAGAAATGAAGCAAGGCCTCATCTCCGTGGGCATCTGCTGCAACCAGATGAAGTACGGCACCGTCTCAGTGGAGAAGGGTACGTGTCAGGCTCTTCCTGCTCCTGCGCAGGGGAAATGAGAGAGGTGGGGGTGTCGTGGGTGGGCTGCTCCGGCGCACAGCCTCGGGGGGTTTGCTGTGCAGCCGGGGAGCTTTGCTCTGAGGGGGAGGGTCCTGTGAGCATTAGCTGGTGCTGGGGAGGGTCCTGTGGAGAGTAACCTGTGCTGCAGGACAAATTTCCCTGCAGCAGCCTGGAGGATGAATCCATGGGCTGGGGATGTGTTGGGTGGCTGTCCTTGGGAGCGTGCCGGTGGGTGCCAGGCCTGTGTCACTTCACCCGCCACGCTCTTGCAGACTGCTCCATCACCAAGTTCCTGAACCGCATCCTGGGTCTGGAGGTGGACAAGCAGAACATGCTCTTCCAGTATTTTTCGGACACCTTTGACTATCTGATCGAGAAGGACAAGAAGGAGGGCAAATACGACATGGGCATCCTGGGTAAGGAGAACGAGGGGTGGCCAGATGCAACCCCGGGGTTCCTTGTTGCCCCTGCGGTGTCCCCACGCGGCATCAACCCTGAGACTCTTGCAGGGAGGGGAGGTGGTTCGGGACGGTGCATCTTACAGCTGGTGTTGGTCTCTCCTAGATTTAGCCCCAGGAGTGGATGAGATCTATGAGGAGAGCAAGGAGGTCTTCCTGACCCCCGGGCACCCGCAGGACGGGCAGGTCGTGTTTTATAAGGTAGGCAGCCTGCACAGCCCTCTCCAGTCCAGCCTTCCCCAGTGCTTCCCGGTCTGGGGCTGCGAGCTGCTGGATCCCCCGCCCCGGTGGCTTTGTGTCATGTTTGTGTCACATCTGTCCTGGTCATGAGCAGGGGCTGGTGCTGGGGGTTGCCCCGAGGAGGGAAGGAGAGGGACAGCGG